CCACGAATCACAATATTCATACACTTAAAGAAAACTGGCATACAGCTTTATATTTAACATAATTTCTTTATTTAAAAAAAATACTTAAAACAAACATGAATAAAATGGTAATAACTCTAATATTTCTTATAAATAAACACAAAATAAAATAAATACAAATAACTAGTGTAACAGAACAAACAATATCAAACAGTGCAGGGAGCAGAAGTGGTTACAGACAGCCCAGGTACAGCAGGGGATGGATTTAAGTGTTTTAAAATTTCATCTGGAGAAAGAAGAGGAGCATTTGTGGAAAAATTGGCATTTTATAATATAGTGTGAACACAAAATATTATTTTCTGTTCAGAGCAGTACAGAAACCTCATCATAGTTTTTCAGGTGAGCCCAAACGTTTCCATCCAGACCTACATGCACAACTATCTATACAGTGAGGACTTCTAGCACACCATGCATTCATGCTCTTAGATAAAAGGCAAGAGTTAACGACAACAGGAGGTGGGAAATAAACTTTTTAATCGACTAGGGGGAAAGCTAACTAAATACAGAGATGTCAATAAACATATAAGTAGGTTTTGTGTCCCAAACAACTCAGCCAACTTCACAAAAGAAGTGTATTTTCTTAAACTGGTTATTTTCTTAACATGAATAATCTTAACCTAATAAAAGTACAGTGGAAATAACTGATGTTAACTCAAATTAGGAAACACTGACGTAACTATCATCGATCATAACAAGCTATCTTAACTACAACAGATAAATCATTGATCTGTGCAGCACGTTACCTCTGCGTCTTTTTCATATTATTCCTCCTCTTCTTTTTCGTCCCTGGGCTCCCGAGGGCTTTGTTGTTGTTTTTTACATTACGGTCATTTATAAACGTGATATTGATCCGTATGGTCAGTGTCACTCACTTCTCTTCAGTCACCTGCCCTCCTCCTCCACAACGAGCAGTTAACGAGCAGCTTTGTTGTGATGAGCCGCCTCAAGCAGGAGACGAGAAAGTAGAGCCTTTTTAAATGTGTGATAGTTGTGTTTTCATGGCTTCTTTTGTATCATTACTAAATAAAAGCATGAAAATTATTTTAGATAAATAATATTTTGTGATATTTAAACGCATTTTTCCTTCTATTTCTTCTTCTTATCTTCAACTTTTCTGCCTTACTCATTTGGAGGCTGGCGCCCCTTGCCTATACTGCCTATGCCACGGGCCGGCCCTGATCAACCCAGAAGAAGCCAAGAGCTCACTGATATCTGATAAAGTTAGGCTGTCACATAATCAGACCCGTCATATCAACTTCAGACAGTACTATCCAAACACCACTCTGACATAATGCTCTCAGGATTCAGTGAGGAAACACCTTCTCCATATTTGAACATGTAAAGGTCAAGATATGAAGGGTGTTGTGGGTTTACTCCGGGAGCTCCGGTTTCTTCCCATTACTTAAAACCAATTTAAAAAAATCTACTATCCAAACACCACTGTGAAGTAATGTTCTCAGGATTCAGTGAGGAAACACCTTCTCCATATTTGAACATGTAAAGGTCAAGATATGAAGGGTGTTGTGAGTTTACTCCGGGAGCTCCGGTTTCTTCCCATTATTTAAAACCAATTAAAAAAAAATAAAAAAATCGTATCAAATCGAATCAAACAATAAAATAAAAATAACTGAACTTTACATTTCATCTGAGTTTGTTATGCATTTAGAAAGTAGACAAAATGTACTGAATCATTAAAGTTTGAAACAGAAATATATTTATTATTTTTATTTTCCCTTACTTTACTTTTCAAAATGTTTCCAGCACAAAATGACAATAATGATTATGGAACACATTTAAAAAAAAAAACAGTATTTATAAATCAAAGACCTTTAAATGTATTTTGTCAAGCTGTGTATCAATGATCATACTATTAAAAAAAAAAAATACAATATGAAATATCGAAATGTTATTGTACACCATGGAACATTATACTGTAATTATAAATTCAAATTGTCTTCATATTGTGAAGGCTCTCGTCTCCGCGCAACAAGCGCTGCCGCGGACATCTCGCGGAGCAATGAAATATCGCGAGAAAACTTTAGTAGTTTAAAAAATAAAATCGACGTTCCCTTTCCCATATCAAGCATTAATTAAATATCGATCGAATCGAGCTTCACGATATATCGCCCAGCACTAACACTACCATTCAAAAAAATAAACTAATTTTCTAAAGAAACAACTGCCAATACATCAAACTTAAAACACTGCCATTCTCATTCTCAGCTCTGGCATAAACTCATCAGCTTTCTTAGTAAATGTTTTTAGCATTAGTACACAGCTTTGAGACACTTCATGAAATGTCATTGTAATGGGGATGGAGCATCTGCACAGGGATGGAGCATCTGCACGGATTTTAAGCTGGTCACTATAAGTCAAGTCAAGTCACATTTATTTATAAAGCACATTTAAAACCAGCAATAGCTGACCAACGTGCTGTACAATGCATTAAAGAAACAGTTTCCAGGGGATTACAACATCCACAAAAAACACAAAAGAAAATATGATAGAAAAAAATAGGAGCGATAATGAAAGCAACAATTGGTTAATATTATATAAATAAAAATGTAATTCATGCTGTTACTTACAGCAAAGGAGAAGGTCTTACAGTGTCTCTCTCAGCCCTAGTGGAGTGCCTTACAAAGTGTACAAGAGGTGTCCCAGACTCCTTCACCAGCTATGGAAGATCCTGAAGGTTATCTGGAGGAGGGGAAAGGTAGCCCAACAATGGAGGTTTGCAGAATGTGTCTGGACTCCCAAGGAGGAGAACGTTAAGAACATCGAGCAGTTCAGAACCATCTCGCGGCTCAGAGTTGAGGGGAAGATATACTTCTCCATCCTATCCCGTCGGTTGACTGAGTTCATCCTGAAGAATCAATACATTGACATCTCTGTACAGAAGGGTGGAATCCCAAAGCTTCCAGGATGCCTCGAGCATACAGGTGTGGTTGCGCAGTTGATCAGAGAGGCAAGAGAAGGGAAGGGAGACCTAGCAGTGCTGTGACTCGACCTCACCAATGCTTATGGATCCATTCCCCATAAGCTGGTGGAACCGGCACCATGTCCCAGGTAAAATCAGGGACCTCATCTTGGACTATTAGAAGAGTTTCAAGCTGAGAGTCACCTCTGGGACAGTCACATCCGAGTGGCATCGGCTGGAGAAAGGGCTCATTACTGGGTGTACGATTTCAGTGATCCTCTTTGCCTTGGCTATGAACATGCTGGATAAGAAAGCCGAAGTCGAGTGCAGAGGTCTGCTCACCAAGTCTGGAGCCTTTATGGAAGACCTGACAGTTACAACGACGTCAGTGCCGGGGTGCCGATGGTTCCTTCAGGGCTTGGAGAAGATCATCACCTGGGCTTGGATGTGTTTCTAGCCTGCAAAATCTAGGTCCCTGGTGCTCAAGAGAGGGAAGGTTACAGACAAGTTCCGCTTCACTCTGGACAGCACCCAGATTCCATCGGACACCGAGAAACCCATCAAGAGCCTCGGCAAGACCTTTGATTACACCCTGAAGGACTCTGCATCCATCAAGGCCACAAATCGGGAGTTGGAGGCGTGGCTGACAGCAGTGGAAAAATCGGGTCTGCCTGGTAAATTCAAGGCCTGGATTTACCAGCACGGTGTTCTCCCCCAGATTCTGTGGCCCCTGCTAGTGTACGAGGTCCCATTAACAACAGTAGAGGGCTTTGAGAGGAGGATCAGTCGTTACCTCCGTAGATGGCTGGGCCTGCCACAAAGCCTGAGTAGCATCGCTCTGTACGGGCAGAAGAACAAACTGAAGCTCCCCATTAGCAGCCTGAATGAAGAGTTTATGGTTACCCGTGCAAGAGAGGTGCTGCAATACAAGGAATCTAGTGACCCGAAAGTCTCCCAGGCTGGCATCGTAGTCAAGACTGGGAGGAAGTGGAGGGCGCAGGAAGCAGTCGAGCAGGCGGAGTCTCGCTTGCTTCAGAGTAAGCTGGTCGGCCCAGTGACATCTGGACGAGTAGGTCTTGGTAGCGTTCCAACCACGCGCTATGACAGAGCCCTGGGCAAAGACAGACGCCGACTGGTCCAAGAGGAGGTGAGAGCTGGTGTGGAGGAACTGCGTGCTAGCCAGATGGTGGGGATGCGACAGCAAGGTGCATGGACTAAATGGGAACAAGCAGTGGACCGCAAGATCTCCTGGTCCGAGCTTTGGCAAGCTGAGCCTTACCGGATCAAGTTCCTGATTGCGTCCGTCTTTGACGTCTTACCCATCCTATCCAACCTCTTCTGCTGGGGCAGGGTTGACACACCATCATGTCCCTTGTGTCTCAGAAGAGGAACGCTAGAGCATATCCTCAGCTGTTGCCCAAAAGCCCTGGGAGAAGGACGCTACACTTGGCGCCACGACCAGGTGCTGAAGACGATAGCAGAAGCCATCTTCACCAGCATCACCCAGAACAAGCCTCTCCGACCAGCAAGGCAGGCCATTGCTTTCATCTGGGCAGGGAAGAAGCCCAAGCACCAGCCAAGGGGAGTAGTGGGACTCCTTGGGACTGCACCGCAGTGACAGATTAAGGCCGACCTAGGGAAGCAGCTCAGATTCCCAGAGCACATTGTGGAAACCACAATAAAACAGGTGGTCCTACTGGAGTTGACAGTCCCCTGGGAGGAGCGAATGGAAGAGGCCAACGAGAGGAAGCATGCCAAGTACGCCAACTTAGTGGAGGAGTGCCACAGACGGGGGTGGAGTGCCCGGTGTGTGCCAATAGAGGTGGGCTGTAGGGGCTTCGCAGCGCGGTCTTTCTACAAAGCATACAGCCTGCTTGGCATCACAGGTGCACGCCAAAAAAAGGCCATCAAAACCACCACAGAGGCAGCCGAGAGGGCCTCTAGATGGCTGTGGATCAAGAGGGGCGATCCGTGGGTACATGCTACTTAGACACAATCCGGGACTTGATCAATCCCGGCTGGGTCGCCTGGGTGAGGGTGTATGATGTTGAAAGACCCAAAAGACCCAATGACCCCAGGTTCCATCACTGATGATGTGTCTAAGTGCATCAATAGATGTATATTGAACTCACGCAACCTTTGACAAAATATCGCAACTTATTTTGTCTTGTTTGTCTAGAACAAGCCAAAGTGTTCCTGCCTCTAAGAGTTTGTACTAAATAGATGTGTATACTATGTAACATGTACATGCATTATGTATTTTTTAGATAAGCAATACTCACTGTGATCGTCACTGTGATTATTATTTTTTAGTTGTGGTTCAGAAACCAAAATGTGATGACAAGGTTGCTACATCCACTTCATTTACATATATTATATAGTCATGGTGATATTCAGCTTTCCTCTGGTATCTGCTCCTCTGGCATTGTTTCTTCTTATGTTTTCTTCTTCCCCATTGTTTGCTTCAGTCACAACTAGAGCTGCATAAATGGTTTTTAATTATAAATTTTCTATATTATTGGACAGCATTTTCTCTTTAAAATGAAACTAAATTTTTATTGGATATTCTTTTTCAGACTGCATTATGCCCAGCCAAGTACACAGAAAGGGTAAGATATTAATTAAGGATGAAACATCACTTTCCTTTGCAGAATGCCTGTGTTCAAATTTTGTTTTATAACCCATGTTGAACATCTCAGTGCTCAGACTTCTCCAAAGTTTATTAAAGCAATTTGTTTGTCTCCATCTAACAGACAGAGACACACTAAACTTTAGAGCTGACACTTTTGTAGTAAAAATGGATTCATGCGATAGATATTATGTTTAAAACTGAGAGTTTCCTTGTTCTCCCCTCAGACGAACCGATGTGAACTCTGTGACGAACTGGAACGCTCCTCTGGTTTGGGATGGAACTTTTGATCCTGTGGTCACCGATGCAATCTATAAGAAAATGGACCCGAGAGTTGCTGTGGTTGTGTTTGCTGTTGGAAAGTAGGTACAAGGGGTGTTACGAGAGGCAGGTTTAAGATGGTCCATTGCTTCAAACTAGAATTTAAAGTCTTAAGCCTGCACTTTATGAGAAAAACATGCAATGTGCGATAAAATTGTTCAGTATTGGGATGACGATATGAAGTATCATTATATAAATAAATCAAATGTAAAGTTCTTGTAGGCAATATTTCACAGTTTTTATAGATCGGCTGCTCTTCATGTTTTATACATTACATGTGTTTGCAACATGTCCTTATTGAATCCAATATTAAACTATGTAATATTGTTTAATATCACTAGTAGTGATATATATCTCACTACATTGGCTCATATTAAACTATGGGTAGCTGATAGCTGAGCTCCATCCAATAGTATAAATGTACGCATAATGAGCGAAAAAGTGTTGCTTGTTTACATGAAAAAAAAATTATTGCAATAAATTTAGACTTTTGCTTTGTTTATTGCAAATGGTCCCATTGTATATTTATAATGACATTGCAATTAATTGTTTAGCCGGAATGTATTTCTTTTTCACCTGAGGACTATACCTATCTCAACTCAACTCAACTCAACTTTATTTATACACATCATAGTTGATCCAAAGGGCTGAACATTGCAGATAGTAGAAAACAAAGCATTAGAAAGTAACAGACAAGAACAACTACAATCAAAGAAAAGGAAAGAACAAATGACAGTTAAGTCCAGTGTAACACAAGACTAACAGAGCTATGGGTTTTGTGCTTGACAGGTTACTGAAAATTAAAGGCAATTGAGTATAAATATGTATTAAGGCGAGTTTTTAAAAGCACCAATAGTGGGAGAGAGATGGATGTCTGGAGGCAAAGAGTTCCACAGTTTTGGTCCTGCAATAGAAAAAGCACGATCCCCATTGCACCTTGTCCTGGATCTATGCACTGACAGAAGGTTTTGTGCTGATGACCTAAGATCTCTCACCAGCTGATATGGGGGCAGGAGTTCTAAGATATAAGCGGGGGCAAGTCCATTTAATGCCTTAAACACAGTCAACAGTATTTTAAAATCCATCCATAAAGAGTATTTTTTAGGACTCTGGCTGCTGAATTTTGTATGAGCTGAAGAAGGGATAGAGATGACTGAGTGATAACAAAATAAAGCTAATTACAGTTATCGATGCGAGTGGATATGAAGTGCCAACCAAGATAACTTCAGTTTTGTCGTCGTTGAACTGGAGGAGTTTGTTGTAGTTTTTTGGCTCAAGTGGGAGGTAAATCTGTGTATCATCAGCGTAACAGTGGTAAGCTATGTTATATTTTTCAAAAATGTGGCCTAGCGGGAGTAAGTAAAAGGAGAAGAGGACTGAACCAAGTATGGAACCTTGGGGAACACCACAGGGAATATGGGCAGAGGAAGACGAAAAGCTACCACTGGAAACGTTGAAAGATCTGTTGGATAAGTAGGACGAAAACCAATTTAAGGTAGTACCAGAGACCCCAACCCATTTGTTTAGTCTCTGCATGAGAACTGAATGGTCAACTGTATCGAAAGCTGCGATTAGATCTAACAGTAGGAGAACAGAACACTTACCAGAGTCCACAGCTAAAAGCAAGTCATTTGTAATTCTGAGAAGTACTGTTTCAGTGCTGTAACGAGCTCGGAAGCAGGATTGGAATTTATCAAAAATGCAGTTTTGAGCTAGATGGGAGAATAATTGGTTGAAGACTGCTTTTTCAATGATTTTTGAGATAAAAGAGAGTTTGGAGATTGGTCTATAGTTATTTAAGACTACAGGATCTGAATTTGTTTGTTTTTTTCAAGAATGGCTTGACAACATTTTGTTTAAATGACTGGGGAACATGACTGCTTTCAAGAGAGTTATTGATGATTAAGAGAAAACAGGGGCCAATGGTGTCTGTAACTTCCTTGAGGAGATTGGTAGGAATAATGTCTAGACAGCAGGTGGAGGTTTTGATAGAAGAGATTAGTTGATGAAGTTCTGGTAAAGCAATCAAGGTGAAAGAATTTAGAACTGATGTGGTCTCGGAGGGAATTAAAAGATTATTTACAGGTGGACTTATATTAAGTCTGATGCCAGACACCTTATCATGGAAGAATTGAAGAAATTCCTGACATTTCGAGACAGAAGCATGGAAGCCAGAGGAGGAGGGGGTGGAGGTGACCAATTTCAAAATACTGAACAGAACTCTGGGATTATGGCAGTTTGTGTCAATGCTATTTGAGAAGTATTGGGTTCTGGTATACTTAACTGCCTGCTGGTATTTATTCAAGAGATCCTTCAACATTTGAAATTAAATTTGCAATTTATTTAGTTTCCACTTCCGCTCTGCTTTTCTGCATGCTCTCCTTATTTCCCGTGTACTGTCATTAAGCCATGGTGAGACCGAAGGCTTACGTTTCTTAAAGGCGAGTGTGGCAATTGAATAAAGGGTGCATCCAAACAGACTGGGTATCTTCCAGTCATTTGCATTAGTAAATTACTTCTCATGCTTTATTATACTTACAGAAAATTGTACTTGTTTCCTTCCTTCTGTCCAAACAGATACACTCGTTTCCTGAAGGGCTTCCTGGAATCAGGCAAAAAGTACTTTCTTGTAGGCTTCAGGGTTACTTACTACATCTTCACCGACAACGAACAAGAAGTTCCCAAAGTGAGCTATAAGACTTATTTTAATGTATTTTGTTAAAAAATGATTGAGGAAATAAAGAGAGGAAGACCGGAATATTTTTGAAAGGAAAAGGAAAAAGAAACAAACAAAAGACAGAGAGGGAAAAATGGAAAATCCAAAGGAGTAAAGGAAGTCCTATGAAGGAAAAGGGAATGAGGAAGGAAAAAGAAAGGAAGAAAGGTTGAAGGGAATGTAGAAAAGAAGGAGAGAAGTTGAAAGGAGGGAAAGAAGGACTGCACAAAGGGAGGAAGAAGAAGACAGAAAGGAAGTCAAGATCGAAGGAAACATACTGAGTTGGAGTGATTGAATTAAACCAAGGAAGGCGGAAGGAGGAGAGGAAAGACCAAAAGGGAAGAATATAAAGTGAGAGTTCATAGCTGTTACAGAAAAATGTAAGGCCAGAAAACATAAAATGTCAAAGATTTCTTTATTTGAGGCAGCACTAACTCCCTAGCAACAAAAAGTGATGTAGTAGGCTTTGTAACCAATTATTGTGCAACAACATTTTACTTCCTCTACAAATAAATCAAAATAATGTGTGCAATATATCTTTCAAACATTTAAGCCGGATTTTTTCACTTATCCTTTATATGTTAAATGTTGTGAGAAGAAGCCATGTGTATCTCAGCTGTTGTAATCTTGTGTTCCACCTGTCAGGTTGAACTGGGTAGCGGTCAGAAGATCTCAATTATCACAATCCCCAGTGCCAAGCGCTGGCAAGAAGTAGTACTTGGCAGGATGAAATGGGCAACCATCACCATTGACAAACAGGTAAATAATAGAGAAGCATGCAAGTTTGGCTTTACCATTGACTGTATATAAATATGGACGATGCGTTTCCATCTCCTCTTATACAAAAATAAAGCCTAAATACCCCTGAGACAGGCGCCGACATAATGCGCTGGTGATGTTATTTAGAGCCAGGACATGCACAGAGTGTATCAGGCTGCTGGAGCTGCCTTTTCCTTCTGACCAAAACACACATTAAACTTAACGATAAAACGTCAAAGATCCATCGGGTGGGTACTGTCCACAGCAGAACAGCTTCTAATGTCAGTTTGAAGCAGACACTGAAGGTTATGTGAAGTTAAACAACTATTTTATTAATCCTTGTAAACTTTCCTGATAACAGAAATCATGAGAAAAAATTGTGTATTTTAATCTTGTGGTTTAACATGTGTCCCATCTGTTAACATGGAGAAGGCGGGGCATATGATCTTCACTGAAGACAGTCAATAGGATAAACTACAAATATTTTGGCAGCACTTTAGGAAACAACAACAAGGTGTCATGAAAAGCTTGTCCCCCTGAAGTGTATAAGTAAAAAATTTCCTCTGAAATGTGTTTTTCAGATCCGTAATGAAGCAGATTATCTTTTTATGATGGACATTGACAGTGTTTTCTACAATCCTGTCGGAGGCGAGTCTCTCAGTCAGCTGTCTGCTGTGCTTCACAGGGGCTACTACAAGGTTCATTTTTCTATATAATATCCATTTCAAGTTCATGGAAATATGTCATTACTGCCTCTTCTCCTATGTTAAGTGGTTAGACGTGGTATTTAATGTTTGCCCCTACATTGAATGTTTTCATTTCTTCACCTATACACTATGGGTTATTTTATTGAATTTCATGTTTTCATGAAAAAAACATTCTCCCTCAGAATACCAACAGGGATGCTTTTCCATATGAGCGTCGGCCCTTGTCAGAAGCCTACATACCTGCTGGAGAGGGAGACTACTATTACACTGCTGCTGTGTGGGGTGGATACCTGGAGGAGATGTACAAGCTTGTCAAGTAAGCAAAGCCAAATCATCTAAGTTTATCTCAAATGTTCTTTTAATCCCCCTGTGGTGATGACTTGAACTGTGTCGCCCAACGTCCAGCTTTATTGTTTTGTTTGCAGTTTGACTCATTATTGTGTTGGCTTTGTTATTCACGTTAGATTTCAACCTCATTTGATTGTTTTTATCGTCTGTAGTCTTAAAGGGGACACATTGTGAAAAATCCACTTCTACAGTGTTTTTGAACATATATTTGGTTAACCTGAGTGTCTACCGACCCACAAAATGTGAAATAAACCCATCCAGTCCTTTGTTTGGGGTCTGCATAAGTCTTAAAACACAGAGAAAAATGCTCGTTTCAAATTTGCTCTCCCTGTGACATAAAAAAAGAACCTCCCCACCCATGGACTCCACCCCCAGCCTAGAACAAAACTTTTGCGCAGGTCCGCCATTTGTATTCTTGCTAGCGAAGGAGTGATGTCTACTGGGAAAACTCAGGGGGTCTCATTGCATTTAAAGAGACACACACACCAAAACGAAGCGTTTTGAGAGAGCTAGTTTATACAGGGTCACAAACCTCCTCTGGTGCTTGATTCATGTTATATTTTGACCAAAGCACAACACAGATGTTTCATTTAGACCACAGGGGACTGTTTGAAAGGGGGAAAAGGGGTATAATATGCCCTCTTTATTTTTGTATTGTAATTTATTTTACTTCTAGTATTGCATGTTTCTTCTTAAATGTATATAGTTTTTGTTTTTTATTGTGTCCAAAAAAAGTTAAAAAAAAATAAAGTTATTTCCATGCTTTTCTAATCTCTAATCAAGGAAATTAACATGTTGTTTTATATATTTTCAATCTCAGAGTATTTTTTTAAACTTTTTTTTTCTAGATACTGTTACATGAAGTCAGAGGAGGACAAAAAGAACGGGATTGAAGCTGTGTGGCAGGAAGAGAGTCACCTCAACAAGTAGAGTGCCACATTTTATCCCTGTTTTAAAGTGTTTCTATAGTTGATGTAAAGTTTAAAAAGAATCTAGCTTGTTGTGTGCTCATGTCTCTTCTTTGAGTATACAGTCTTTTCTTATCTGCTGCCTCTGTCATGCAGATACCTGCTGTACAACAAACCAACCAAGGTGCTGTCTCCAGAGTACCTGTGGTCAGACTATGATGCCGTACCAGCAGACATTCGAGTCAAAAGGATCTCCCAGCTGATTAAGGACTATAAGGAAGTGCGGCCAAATGGTGGACACTGATATCAAGTCTATGACATACAGGACAGAAACCTTGTTATCTCACACACAGTACAGAATCTGGATCCAGTTGTGGTTTTACAGATCATGTCAATTTTAAAGTTTTTATCTCTAATAAGTATAATAGTTTTTCAGGAGCAATGTAATCCAAAGACAACTGTATTGAATTGCATTATTCTTCAGGTTTATTTGTGAAGAAGGGGAGGGGAAGTGGAGAAGGGACTCTCGTATGATGAAGCTGTAAATAAAATGAAGGAAACTGAGGAAGTGGTGACAGTCCAAAAATAAAGAGGAGCAGGAAAAGAATGATCGAAACATCTGCATGTACATCATTGCAATGGTGATTAATTGTGTTGTGTGGGCATACAAAGGAAGTCTGAAAGGATTAAAATGGTTTGAAAAGTAGGCTATAAAGTTTTTAGAAAACTTCAAAACTGTGTTTGGTGAGCACCCTGACATTCAATGAATTGCATGTATTTTTTTGTTAATATAGAGACGGCTATTTTCATTTTGCAATTTGATATTTCTATAATTATTTTATACTTTATTACACGCTTTATGTCAGCTATTTTTTTAACACACAGACAACCTTGCCTTATATGACAATAGACAATGTAATTTAATTAAGATTACTTTGGATGGACTATAATATTTGTCCGTGTAAAACTATTACAACAGGTGGCGGTAATAGAGCTCTTATCGATGCCGACCGTCATCAAACACAACAGAAAAAGATAGAGAAGAAGGGGTGCGTTCGAATTGTCCCTCCTATCTCCTTTCACTTAAGTGGCGGCCATGATAAGAGCCGTTTGAATTCTCTAAAAGTTAAGGAAAGGTGGGTCAATGCTTCCTTTATAACCTCCTTTAGCATAGGATACACTGGACCATCCTTTACAAAAGGAGATGAGATATGCCGCCCCACAATTCCTTGCGGCCGCAACATCCGACCGTTCATGAACATTAACGATGATCGTAAAGTGACACAGATCATGTAAGAGATAAAAGATAAGAGACATTTTTATCAGATGATGTTTTATTCAACATATTTCATTCACTTAAGAATGCTTTGTGCAGTTGTACATTTGTATTCTTAAAATGTTATGTGTAGGCTATATCTTGCAGAAATGTAACAATTAATTTCATACGATCATATTTATGTTGATGTTGATTTCTGATTGGACAGGAAGGTGATGGTTTCACTTTTCTTACTTGTAGCCTGGTGGTCTATATTTCTTTTATTTCAATCCCAACCTTGTGGTAATTAGGATTATTTCACCTGTAAGAAGGCATAGGGGAAAGTTTTTTTAGATGCGTTTTTTGTAGTCCATTTTCAGAACATTGTAGTTTCAACACGGCAGACACACGTCATTAACCTCCGCCGGCCCGTCGCATTTAATGACGTCGCCTAGTGGAAATGTGGTCGGATTGTCAGAGCAACGAGATCACCTTTCCCTAAGTCCTTTATGAATTCTCCTAACATCTTTCCTTAACCTCATGACGTTTTCCCGGGGTTAAGGTAAAGAGGATAGTGGAAGGAGATAGGAGGGACAATTCCAACGCACCCAAGGACTCTGCTCTGTATTTACGACAGTGTCGTAAAGCGCCAATGTTATGGTCGGAAATGTGTCCGGTCGTCCTCTGAACCAAGCTCCCAGTCGCCCTTCAACACAGACAGAGTACTCTTCTTCTTCTTCTTCAGTACAGACACAAGACTAGCTTCAAACCATGGCAGGGGTAATCGCACGGAAAGCTATTGACCACCTCAAGAGCAAAGAGTTCAGGGATTATTTGACGAGGTACGTTTAATAAACTGCTTTATTTTCTATTAGCATGCGTGCTAAAGGAGCTAGCTGCAGAGTGATAGGGTTACAGTAATGACAGCCCACTGACCCACTTATCTGTGTAACCAACATTTCAATGAACTTCTAAGAACATTTTCAGACAGTCTTATTGTATATTTCATTGTTGTCACTTGTGTTTTCTTGTTAGATTTCAAGGACGATTGTGCTTTGTTTAAATTAACTTGTGTATCCGGGTAGATTATATATTATTATATTATATTATTATATTATATTATTATATTCTGATGAAGCTATGAGGGAATGTTATGTGAAACATTTCTCCCTAGTATGAGGGACAAAAAATGACTAAAGTATAAATAAATAAATAAATAAATGTCGGGAGAAATGCATACAATAATGTATAAATAAATAAATGCATCAATAAATATATAAATAAATATATAAATGCTGAAAACAATACATCAATGAATAAATAATAAATACACTTTGTTAATGAAAGAGGTTATTTATATATTTTTACATGTATTTATTCATTTATTAGTGTATTTCTACAGTTATATATGTATCAATGCATACATTTCCACATTAATTGAGTTATTAATTTATTTCCGTATTTTTACATTTACACATCTATTTATTTCTGTGTCCAGGTCGTAAGATGAAAAGTATATATATATATATATATATATGTAAATTTGCTTCTGTCTGTTTTTCAAAATTGACCAATCCTACTTTAGTAATGTTAGGACGGCCCACTTAATTTACATATTTACTTTTCCTTGTACAACATGGACACAGAAATACATAAATAAATATATGAATATATTTATTTATTGATGCATTTATTTAATTATTCATTTATTTATACATTATTGTATGCATTTCTCCCAACATTCTTTAGTAATTGTTTGTCCTTCATACCGTAGCACCCTTTGATTAATCTGCTTGCCATTAAAGTGGGTCGTAACTTGCTCTTACTGGAGATCGTAGGGTAAACTGCATTTGTGCTTTCAGGATGTGACCAGTGTCAGATCAGTCGTCACAGGTGAAGGCCAGTGAAGAGAAAAACTTTCACTGGTTTTGGTCTTTTTTTTTTTATCAGGATGTTTGTTCATTTGGAAATAGTGCACTGGTGGGGTTGGTGCAATTTATCAATGATTTACTTTTAGTAATTATTCTTTTAGTGTCACTTTCTGCTTAACCAATAACTTTCTATTCTGTCTGCAGAGATCCTATGAAGAACCTGTACTTTGTAGTCAGACGAGAAGCACACCTCTGATTTAGAGTAAAGGTTTTCATGTTGACGCTGTGACGCAAGAGGCCGCCTTTGTTTTTAGTCCTCACACATGATGATGGTTATCTCTGGGTTCCTTTTTCCAAAGCAATGTCTGTAATCCAGTACAAGGTCAAACACATATATTGAATGGGGTTGGAGTGAACATTGTCACAACTTTTATTTCCTTTGTAACCATCAATCAAACTCTATTTATTAAGGACCTCTCAGACAAATTAAATTTCAGTTCAACACGTTTTACAAAAGAGCAGAAAAGTGACAGACAAAAGGTTAAAAAGGGTTTAGAGAGTTATGCGCACGAATTAGATGTGATGAAATAAAGATGGATGATGGAAAAGTATAATAGACAAGAAATAAAAGCAATTTAAAAAAATCAAACTTATACACAATAAAATCTTTCAAATGTTAATAAAATCATGTTTCCATGTGCCTCTGGCTTTCTGGCCCTCTGACATCACACCACATAAAATAATGGCATAAGGCTTTATATACGTTTATTTCATGTACTTGTTCTTTCATAATGAGCTGCTGTCTGGATCGATGTGTTTCAGGTGGCTGAAGCTCTTGTGTAACCTAGGTCTTATCCGTGTTATTTATCTGTATTTTGTTCTTTTCTCTTCTATGTGGTCCTGGCAAAAATCCAAATCAGCACAGTAAGTTCTCCTCTTCTCTCCTTGTCAAATAGTCTCTCTCTTTATGTCTATTTCTATCTCATATTTTTTATTAGTTTTGAATATTGTTAACAAGGCAGCTGTAGTATAGCTCTTTTTTCGGTACAACCAGTTGGAAATGAATGTCCCAGTCTAAGGTCCACACTACATTTTGTATCTATGTCTGTGTGCAGCATTTCTGGGGTCCTGTAGCAAACTGGGGTCTTCCTATAGCCGCCATCGCAGACATGAAGAAGAGCCCTGAGATCATCAGTGGCAGGATGACCTTCGGTAAGACACACTGACATGTGTACTGATAAATCCAGATGCACACAAAGCCAACATCCTTATGTACATATCCTGATAACATTGTCAGGATATGGGTTGTGGTTTTGACTATAGTCTCAAGGCTTTCTTTTAAATATACTTAAAATATACTATACACCAGTTAGTTCCCACCAAACAATGTGATTGGACAAGAATTGTGAGTGACGATATAGGAGAACAAAGTTAGAAAAAAGTACTGAGTCCGCACACCAGAAGTAGCTCCAATAAATGAAATTTAATGGACTCTCGCGTGTAAACGTTTCGGGCCCTCGCCCTTCATCAGACATGAACAAGTCAATGGACACACCGTCACATATACACAAGGTCACCTGACAGGTCATGTGATATAAAACCAGGAGCAAAATAGAAATTAGACTATGCAAAACATTCATGATAGAAGTCCACAGGATCTATGCATAGATGTTACAAAATGCGAAAGTGAAAACAAGAATCATTTTACATTGGTATACGTCTCCAGCAGAAAAAAAACCTGCAGTCACAGGAGGATTGCCATAATAATTGACTAACTGTAGGCATCAGGTGATATCGACATAATGACATGTAAGCACAAAAACAATAGAGGCGGCTCTATAATACAGGAAAAAGTGGTAGAGATCAATGAAAATATTGAAATGAAACAGAAAAGCACAGCAAGTCTACAGATAGATGTCATGTAAACATCAAGCCCACAGCACATGGAACTATACACCAAAACACAGTATAGAACCAGACACCAGAGAAAGACACTTAGTACTTTACACAACATGGAGGGGCACAATACTTAATCACTTAATTAAAAACACTCATCTGAGGGAAGGCACAGTAGAATATAGCTGAAATGAAAGAGTCATCATACAGGGCACAATACACAATCAAATTTGTCCGGAAGATAGACTCATCACAGAACAGGCACGATCAGATATATGGAGGACGGAGACGATATAGGAGAACAACATCACTGGGACCTTCCTAGACACCAGTGCACACCAATAGAGTAACACATAAATATTAATGGATGAAGCCTGAGTGACGTCAGCCATCTGTTCCAGCAGGGGGCTCCGGAGGCTCATCGGCAGCAGTCTTCTGCTTGATGAACCGTTACATCGCGCCCACCTGTCAATCATGTCAGCTATGTGCCTAGTAGATAACACATATCGTTTTCGAAATCAAAACAAAGCTGTTTCAAAACAAAAAATCAGCCTCCCCACAGTGATGACAATAACTAATCAGACCAGTTTCATTTTTTGTACCAGGCTGTAAACATGTTTATTTATGCTGTAAAAGCTGGCTTTTTTTAAATGGGGTGTGACTTCCGGTGTTCCTGGAGCCAGCCTCAAGCGGATTTTGCACTTCCACATTGGCTTCATTTCTCAAGAGCGAAGGTTGCAGCATAGTTGCAGAATAGCATGTTTGAGTCACTCAGCAACATTCTAGTTTCAGTTGAATTGAGGAGCTGGTTGAGTTGGTTTTGGAGTTCTGTTGCTGATGTTGTACTGGGCTACGACCCAAATTCTTTACAACATCACTCCCTCTCGTGTGTTATTGCTTAAATGAAGTTTAAATTCTCAATAGTTTATTTGAGGTACTTCAAGAGAGCTTCCACTTTGACCTCAGAGCTGTCTTAAAGGTCAGAAAACATGGCAGAAGATAGAAGATATGCCCGCCCGAGGTCTTCTTCTGGTGATAGCTGTCGACCTATTACCTAAAGAAGTCCTCTGTTGAAACGTTGTGGCTGTTCTGTAGTGTTAGCTGGGTGCAGCTCTGGAGAGGTGGTATAATGTTTACATGTTTAAACTCTTATCTTTATAAACTCTGACCTGTGTGTGTTCTCCCTCCTCTCAGCTCTGTGCTGCTATTCACTTCTCTTCATGAGGTTCGCCTACAAGGTGCAGCCACGCAACTGGCTTCTGTTTGCTTGCCATTTGACCAACGAATCAGCACAGCTGGTTCAGGCGAGTCGCCTCATCAAATTCAAGTAAGCAACACTTGTTTCTGTGATTTCTACTGCACAAGTGGACCAAATCTTCCGAAAAGTTCTGTAAAAATGTCCCAAATCGTGTTGAGGGCTTGTCATGATCTCCAGTTTTATTTATTTCATGTCAGTTAAAACAATGTCTGTGTCTTTCCAGTTACCTTTACCTGCCTCTGTTCAAACAGTTGAGCATTTTTAAAAAGACTTACTGAAGATGACGTCGTCAAAGTGACTCATACCCTCAGTGCTTGAAATGATAGTTAGATTTTGGATAATCATGGTTTGGCTAAACTGTATTTTTAAAAAGAAGCCCGTGAAATAAAGTAAAATAACATTGTGTACATTCTGACCTTTTTCTTTTTTTTTCTCAGCATGGAGCAGAAGACCAAATCCTAATGGCAGGGAAAAGCAGATGCAGCAAATTTACTGCAACTCGGCACCATGCTACTTCAAAGGCCTCCTGAACCCCGGACATCAAAACTCATGCATCTAATACATCTCAGTTAACAATGAAACTTTGGCACTTACATTGTTTTTTTAACCTGTTGTTACCGTGATCAATCGGCCATCATCGAAGAGATCAAGTCACTTTTTACCAAACCGACAAGAACATGCACAGATGCTTCCTCACACAACAATAAAGGTCAACTATCGTGGTGAATTTTAAGATTTTTGCAATATTAAAAATGACACAAATGTAATGTTGGTGGTGAATGTTCACTCAGCAAAGCAGCCTGACAGCTAGACGCCTCCCACACTGGATCCACTGGTTGTTTCACACTTTGTAAAAACAGGTTTCAAACATTCATAAACCATCACATTTCAGGTAATAATTTAACACGTCCTCACCTGCAAGTGAATTAAATAATGTTTAAAAATTCACACTGAACTTACACTCGGGTCAGTTTGTGCAAACAAATCCATATCACAGCACATTAACACCCGGCAATGGACTTCCTAGACTTTTGTCTCACAGATAACTAAGCTTTATTTGTTTTGCTCTGAAGCTCATATTATGTGGTGCAATGTAAACTGAGTGTGTATGAGGAGGGTTTTAGTACAAGAACAATGGCTCATGATTTCAAAACATAATTCAGAAGTGTTTGTCTCTTCATGCAGAGAAGCTGTGCACACTGTAAAGCTGTGTAATCAGAACGTGACTGTATTCTTATCCTCCACATCTGAGCAAGACAAACTGCTTCTGTCAGTGCTGACCAAACATGTACTGTGTGTTTTTGTCATGTGTCATTCACATTAATTTATTGACTTGTATCATTCACATTATTCTTCCCTGATTAACAATTTGATTGTATGGTTTTGTTGAAATAAACTGGTGATAACCAACCTGAACACGATTACAGCCGGTGAGTGATTATTTGCAGAAGCAGATTGTTAAGAGAAGTTAAGCTTTGCTGTCGTATTGTTAGGCTTCAGTAACATGTACAGTATGTGAGATATTTCATCATGGCTTTGTCAATGCAATGTATTAACGCTCAACACTTAACTTAAGTCCCTTTTAAATAAACTCTTACCACAGCTTCAGTCAGAAACTACAACTCCAGTTAACTGTAAATCACATGTTGTATGCTAAAACCCAGCTTTAAAGCTGTTATATTTAAATTACAGAGCAAGATGGGCATGGGATATCACAGGAGTGGTGCCAAAGGGTGGCAAGGGCCAGCCTAGAACTCTTATTGGCCACTCCCAGAATCCTTAACAATGATTGGCTACTTGCCTTGTCAGAGGCAGGACTAGTGTTTAAATCGACTTTTTTGCCTTTTTTTGCAGCCTATTGCATTTTGTTAGTACTTTAAATTATGACTTCAGATATATATCTTCTCCATCAGTACTTAAAGAATTAAGCAAAGAAGATTTAAATAGTGCTACCCTTTTAAGGAAAAAAAATGATTGATTGAAATGAAACTGCGCACACAACTTACATGCACTTCCTTTGTTTAGATTGTGCACCTTCACTTTTTACAATACATTGTCTGTATTAAAAACATCCGGAATCCAAACTAACTACATAAAAACAGTAAGATAAGAAACTGTCATCCAACCACCCCTGCAAAAGTCAGCTTCCCAGTTCTACCACCCCAAAAGGTCTGGCTCTGCCACTATATGCAAGGACAATATTGAATTAACATGACAAAGTGTTTGTCAGTCTCCCTCCCTCCTCTTCTTTTGTGATCAGCTCACAGAGCTCAGCGATTTAGAGATCTTCAGTAGGTGGAGTTTCATACAGGTTGACCTCTTGGCGAACATCACCTGCTGCAGTGTGTAATATATATAAAACTGTGCATTAAGATTTTAAAAACATTACGTTATTATGTTTAAAAACAACAACAATGTAAATGTATTTCTAAAATGTATTATTATGTTAATTCATTTTGCAAAAGATATTCAGTCATTTATATCTGTAATCTGTTGCTTTGTTAGGTCACATATTACACTTTAGGCCTACTTTGTTTTTCTAACACTAAAATGTGGCTCAAGCCTGTCTACAAACCCCCCAATAATGACAAAAGTCCATCCTCTCTGTCTTTAGCCTGCTGCACTTTTCAGAAAGGGTTTGCTCAAAGAGGCTGTTTGGAGATTTTCCCTTCATAGCCGTTTTCACATGCACTCCGGATAATATCTAGATATTTACAGGAGGACTTCTCCGGAGATTCTCCCGAACTAGCCGTTCACATATGCTCCTCACAGAGGGGGGCTTTCCCTGGCATGGTGCAAGAAAGCCCAAGCCCTTCCAGAGAAGGGTGTGGTCAGAGACAGCTCATTTACATTTAAAGGTACAGGCACAGAAACAGCCTGTTCTGATCAGGGCTGAAATAGAGGGGTTTATATGCATAAAAAATATAGGATCAGAGTATATTGATATCAAGAAACGCCACAGACATGATTTGAGGAGCTCTGAGACTTTAATTTAAACTTAAAATTAGTAAAATATCCTTTCAACTTTGTTGAGACTATTTTACACTTCCGGAGTTGCACCAGTAGGGGGAGTGTGTTGCATGCGGCTCGTTACTCATCAGCTGAAGTGGAACAACGAAGAAGAAGAAGAAGAAGACCAACATGGCGTCCGTCAACAGCAGTGAGTGGAGAGCAATCTGCGACAAATTCACCAACGCCCAAAACCTCACTGATGTGGAATCACGAAACGACCCAGAAAATGACCCATTCCGCTCAAAGTACAAAGCCAGGGAGCTCCTCAGAGAGATTTACTGCTCGCTGAAGAGCTTCGAGGCCGGTGAGGGAGAAGAGGAGAGCGGCGGAGAGAGCAGCGAGAGGCCGGTGGAGGATCCTCCGGAGAGCGGGCAGGGGGAGGACGGGCTGGACCAGGCCTTCAGCCGAGACTCACCGGGGGGGCTGCGGGCCGCAAAACTCGGGGCTGTAGAGTATTATCTGGGCGTCAACCACATCGATACAGAGGAGCTGCCAGCCGGGCAGGAGCATCTGATGAACTGCATGAAACTGCTGGAGAGATGCAGAGTGTCCTCCGACAGTGTGTCCCTGTTCATCCACGTCAGGGTAAACAGTCTCTGAATAATACTAATAAAGAAGTAGAACAGGACATTTATCATCCACTATATCAATACACAAACATTAACCTCACTGATTAGAGATGTGTTACTCCTGTGGTCATAATAACAAATGATATGTGTTAGATAGAAACAGGGTCATTTAAGTCATGGAAAGATTAATTAGTAAATTGCAATGTGTGGACAATAATGTCGTTTATCTTTGGGAAATGCATAATCCTTAAGAATGGTCAAGAAAGCAGCATTACAGGCTTTTGGGACAGCAGGTTGTTCTACTCTTTCATTTGAAACAATTATAATAATAATAATAACTTTATTTATATAGCACCTATAAACACAGGTTTACAAAGTGCTTTGACAAACAGTAAAAACAAAAACAAACTAAACCAAACACAGAAGAACAGAAACAATAGTAAGAACAAAACAAATGTAAAATACTAAAAATAATTAAATACAGTTCAACAGAAAAGAACCCAAAGTGCACGATACACAACCAGACATATATAACCTGACCATCACAAGAACCATTATAAGAACCATCACAAGAACCATCATAAGAACCATCAGAAGAACCATCAGAAGAACCATCACAAAAACCATCATAAGAACCATCACAAGAACCATCACAAGAACCCGACCATCACAAGAACCATCACAAGAACCATCATAAGAACCATCATAAGAACCATCACAAGAACCATCACAAGAACCATCATAAGAACCATCACAAGAACCCGACCATCACAAGAACCATCATAAGAACCATCACAAGAACCATCACAAGAACCATCATAAGAACCATCACAAGAACCATCATAAGAACCATCACAAAAACCATCATAAGAACCATCATAAGAACCCGACCATTATAAGAACCATCACAAGAACCCGACCATTATAAGAACCATCACAAGAACCCGACCATTATAAGAACCATCACAAGAACCCGACCATTATAAGAACCATCACAAGAACCATCATAAGAACCCAACAACACAAGAACCCAACAACACGAGCTGAGACCAAGAGGAAGAAAGATTTAAAAATGTGTAAGAAACTAAAAGAGCTAAAAGCAAATCAAAAGATAACAGCAATAAGAAGGTAAGAGCAGGAAAAGAAATAGAAACAAGTGTTTCAAGGATTTAAAAAAAAACTATAATATTAATAAAAATAAAAAGTATATATAAATATAAAACACAAATAGACAAAGTAAGTAAGATAAGAAATGACCAAGTTAAAATATAAGAGTTAAGATAAGAGCATAAATACGAGATAAGAGCGATTGTTAATTTGTCATAATTGTAGAAAAGAGTCCATCAGATCCGTTAGGTGGTTGAAGTCTTTGTAAAGACGATGATTTGATCTCTTGCTCATGGAACTGTTGTGTATGTTATCAGAATCAGTTGGGCATCCTTTGGGCCGGCCGGGATGAGACGGAGATGGCTCAAGGATTCCTTGAAACAGCCGAATCTGTCTACCAGCGATATATGAAGGAGGTGAGGTTGTTTTCTTGTGTGGGTTTTTTACATGAAGTGTTGGCTGACTGATCACAGAGAGGAAAGAAAGCTGCACTGCAGTGTCAGGAGCAGGAACACAGACAATGTTTTTTGTTCAGGTTTCTACCTGACATATTATCCAGCTCTCTTTACTGTCTCGTCTCTGGCTCTTCTCATGTGACGTATCATCATGTAGTTCATGGCATTGTTGTATTCTCAGTAAAAATGTGTCTTCCTGCTAAGTGTTTGTGAACTTTGAATATTTTTAGTATTATTTTAAGAGCAGATTCTTTCAAAGTAAGGAAGTGAATACATTGCACTGCTGGCAATAATTGAAATTAAGTAAGCAGCTTAGTTGTTGATATTAAATATGTTATCACCAGAATTTAAATACAATAGAAATAGGGAGTATAAGTGTTATGCAGAAGTAGCAGGACAAGATTGTAAGAAGTGAAATCCTCTTCATAAACAGCCATGTTTGTTGTGTTTTTCTTTTCTTTCTTGTGTGTCAGGATGGGACTCCTCCCACTGACATGACCGAGTACTTTACCACTGAGGAGAAGCTGCTGACACATCAGGAAAGGACCAAGAGGTAACGTGTTAGTACACATGGAGAATTGTCCTCAATATAAATGGTATTTCCTGATGTTTGGTCTTTCTCTTCTGTGCTCTGGCTTTCACATTAACTCATTTTTTTTTTCATTTCAATCTTTCAAAAACGTTCCTTTCTCAGGTTTGAGTTGGCCTACACTCACACCAAGTACTACCTCGCTCAAGTCTATAAAAACCTCGGTGAGTCAGATTTACATTAAAAACTTGATTAAAAACAATGATATTAGAAATCTCTCTTATACAGTGAGGTCCACTTTTATCGCCTTAAAGGTTGCATCATGTCGATCAATTCTGAGGCACTAAAGCCTACTACTAAAACACTCCTGCATACATTCCAGTGTTTCCCCTAGGTTTAAAGCGTTGGGGGGGTGGGGACAAGCCGACATGGCGACACAACGACACGACGACACAAACACTTGAAGGAATCTTGGTGTTCATGTGTTACTTTTAATGACAGCTGTCCTTTGCTATCAGAAAGGTATCCTTAAATGACTTCTTTCCCTGATTTCCGACTCTATCCACTATCATATCTCTACAATAAAGACACAAAAAGCCCAAAAATAAATCTTAAAAAAAATTAAATAAAATAAAATTCATGCAGAGAAGCCCCTACCAATGAATATAATGGTAGGGGAAACACTGCATTCATAAAGCTTCACACAGTTATGGTAGTGTATAGCTGAATGTTGTGATAACTGGAGTGAATTTGTCTTTCAGGTCAAACTGAGCGAGCTGCCACATACTGCCACAGCACCCTGCAGAGACAGCTGCAGTTAAATCAGTTCAGTCCAATGGAGTGGGCTCTGAACGCTGCCACCCTATCACAGTATTACATCAATAAGGTAGAGCTTTTATTGTTTAAAACTGAAGCTAGTGTTTAAATCCTGTTACATAAATCAATGTACCATGTCTTCAAACTGAGTTAGTCTTTGGAAGGATAAAGTATTGTTGGTTTAGACCCAGTTCTCAGATCCAGGCTTCCTGGTTTTTCAATTTGACACGGAGCCAAAAAAATTGTGACGATATCCCAAACAAATATTAAAATCTGTGTTGTGAGACCTGCTCTCTGTGTTCATGTCAGAGTTTGTTTCCAGTGTGTTTAGAGTAAGGAGCTTGGTGTGTGAATATGTGTGCCTGTGTTGATTTTTAGGGCCGCTACATGGAGGGCAGACATTGCCTCTCCGCAGCTACGGTCATATCAGGTTTGGCAGGAGAGGCTCCTTCTGAGGCCGCAGCAGAGGAGAGTGAGTATTTGTTTTAATCTTCAGTTGAATATGTATTAAAATGAGCCTGTTAGATTGCGTATTTCCTTTTGTGTTCTGACGCCAAAACAACCGCAGTGAGTCAGACAGGAGAGAAAAGATCTGTGTAAAGCAAAGCGTTGTGTAGCCCTTCTCTAAAAAATAGCTGTTTCTCTCCCTCTTCCTGCTGCAGGTGAGACAGAGAGGGACCGCAGGGAAACCCTCAGACAGAAGAGGGCGGAGATTGCGAGATGTTGGATCAAATACTGTCTCAACCTCCTGCATGATGCGAAGAAGCTGCTTGAGGTACTCCATGGTCCTTTCTCAGCCACACACACCCAAGGCATTGGCACAGGGGGAACTCAGTTTGCAGTCACACTCCCAGATGAATACAAAATCGCCTTTTGTTAAGGTGCAGCATGTAAAATGCCGCTGCAGGCTTTGAGAAGAAGTCCCCTCACTCCAGCCGGGAACAGCATATTTTTGCAGCCATGATTTCATATCGCAAGATTAATGAGAAGCTGTAATGTAAATAACCGTGACAAAAAAGAAAACTCACCCAGGGCTTCTTTTTAAAAGATCTTTTTTTTCATCTGATGATCTTAAGTTACTTAGTTTTTGTAATATTCCCTATAAACATAAAACACTCAACAATCGGATTTTGATTGTTTTTTTTTAATATACTTTATACACTCTCTTATTTAGAGGGACATGCTTCCTACACACACAGGCCCGAATCACATGCACAAACAGGGCCTGTGGACATGCATTAGTGGAGAGATGTCAGAGTGGGGCTGCTACAAGCTGCTAAGCAGAGAGCGCACCAGAGCAGTTGGGGTTTCGGTGACTTGCTCAAGGGCACCTCTGCAGCGCCCTGGAAGTGCCCTGGCACCCCTCCAGCTACCAGACCAACTTCCATATTATGGGCCGTACTAAGACTTGAACAGCGACCCTCAGTCTGTAGCTCAGTCCCTACAGACTGAGCAAAATGATGTTGATGGATAAAGTAGAAATAAGTTTGTTACTCCAAGTAAAAAAAACTTTGCTCATCTGATGAATGTGTCTTTAAATGTGCTTTTACATGTGTTTGAGCAGGACAACATCGGGGAGCTGGACACTGATCGTCAAGAAGAGTTGAAGAGAGCTAGAAGAGGAGAGGAGGAAGAGGAGGAGAAGGAGAGGAAGAGTGCTCTGCTGTTTGGCTCTGAAGACACCTTTGACTCCATCGCTAGCCTGGAAGAGAAGGTTTCTATAATGAGTCTGATACTATAACTCCTAGAGCTGCAAGGAATGAATGGTTCTTTGATTGCATCATCTTTAATTGTATCTCAAGTTTGTCTGCGTCAGAAGCAGCAGGAGGTCGTTTTGTTGATAATACAGTAGCTTTTTTTTTATCATCATTTTAAAGCTACCATGAGGAGTTTTTACCTGTTTTTCAAAATAGACTGAAATTAAAATTGATGCCTCAATGTGAGCTACAAAAGCACCTACAGCATCAGGAAGAATACTGACTATCTCTATGTTGTCATTATTATTGCCTGCAATCACAACTAAAGGGCAGGGGTTGGACAAAGTGATAAACAACACGCTGCAGAAAACACCTTTTTTTTTTTTTTTTTTACATCTTCCACTTCAAAGTTTCTTCATGATTGAAACATTTGACTGTAGATAGAAAGCAGGAAGATAATTTACTGTTAAAAACCACTACTTATATATGTACGGGCACGATCAGCAAAGAGATTAGATGTACCTTTTTGTCCACAGGTGGCACCGAGGTTGACACAAACAGAAAGTTCCTCACAGTAGCTTTAAGTTCAGCAGTGTTTCGATGTGAAAGTATCTCACTATATATGAAAAGTAGGGCTGTGAGCATTAACTAGTTAATCACTATCAATTAAGGTCTGAAATTGATGCATACATTTTTAAAATCACATGCTATTTTTGTCCCTTTAGGCACCGTAGATAGGCCTCTGCAGTGTCTCCCTGTAGTCAGAGAGGGAAAAGAATGACACCACTGCGTCTTTGAATGTCTCATTTTACTTCAAGAAAAACTTCTAGACAGCACAATTGACAATTCAAAAGTAATATTCACCTCATGACATCAAACCTTTCCCTTTTACACCGTTCCTTTGAGCTGTATTAATGTAGTTATTGATATGTAACAAGTTTACCCTTTACTGTGGTTACGTTAATGTTGTAACCTTCGATCAACCAGAAGGTCATTACTTTATTTCAAAATTAGAGCCAGCTTTGAATTCAAACAGCAAGGAAAGTAAAGACTAATATTTTCCAAAAATATTTGGTTTTAAATGTAAAATAATAACTGAATTTCAAACACAAGATTCAAAATGTGATTATTTGCAATTAACTATCATAATTCCACCATTGATTGCTATTAAAAATGTAATTGTTTGACAGCCCTAATCAAAAGCATAAGAAAAGGAAAAGGAGTGTAACTATAATAAATACAGCGTTGAGACCACTGTATCAATGATCCAACTGTCTGCTTCCTGTTTCACAGGTGAGCTCTCTGTTCCCTCTAGACTTCACAGAAGCAAGAGCAGTATTTCTGGTCGGACAGAATTATGTCACACAGGTATGCACACATTCACACATGCATTATATACTGAAACATTGACACTCTGGGAATGGACACTTTAGTTGCTGTGGACTAAATGTAACTGTTCCAAAAGAAGAGAAGAAGAATTCTTTATGACAGAAATGTATAGGTACAACGTAAAACTTCCCATCCCAACTTAAGGCCTCGTTGCTGCACATTTTGACGAAAGAGGCAGGTCTCAATTAGAGCCCCCTGTGCGTTTAGTGTGAATATAATATTCTTTCTAGTGTGAAATGTTATAGTCTAGATCTCTTGACGCCTGTCCCAAATAAAGGCAGGGTCATTTCATAGACTGAAGTAAATAAAAACCTAGGCTGTTAATAGAAGTTTTGCGGTATGCACAATATATATAGTCGTGAAAATCGATATTAGCGTTGGGCATAGCTTCGTTTGAATTGTACCCTCTGATAACTTCTATTTCTAATACACCATCACGAAGAAAAAAAAAACATGCTTAACTCAGCAAGAAAGGAAGCCACTAGATAACAATACTGTCGGTGAAGATTTTTGTTTAAGCCTCAGAAAAGGACAACGTGATTGCAATTTGCAAAACATCCTTCACAAGGGTTCTCAGAGCTATGGAGTTGTTAATAATCGTCCATAACTCAGTCTTTCTTCTCCACAGGTAATGAGCTTCTTTTTAAAGTAAAATACTAAGTGTTATAATCTGTTTTCTTATTGGTTCAGGTCATGAAAAGCAGATGTCATCTTTAATGATACTGTCTGAAATAAAATTATATTGTACATTTGTTGACATTTTGTAGGTTGCACGGCACTAGGTTTTCTGAGCGAGGACAAATTGTTATATGATTGGATGAGAAGTCAATCATGCCTTTTCTTCTAACAGTTTTACATTTTCAAAACTTCCCACTAGCATTGAAACCACCATTATACTTTTCCATTTCTGAACATGGTGAACCGTTTCCTTTCACACACTCTTGCAGGCTAAGGACTACTTCCTGATGGATGGCTACGTGACTGATCACATAGAGATCCTGCAGGATCACAGTTCTCTGTTTAGGGGTCTAGCTTTCTTCGAAGAGGATCTTGAGCGACGCTGCAAAATGCACAAAAGACGAGTTGACATGCTAGAGCCAATATGCAACGGTAATGTGCAGCACTAAATTTCTTCTTGAGATTCTTTGTTTTGTTTTTGTTAGAAAGTCTCTTTGTTAATAACTCAATAAAGTAGAGAAAACAAAGTTGAAACAAAATAACTCAGACAGCCATTCAAGGAAACAAAGTCGATTGAATCTGTCTTTCTCTCACTCTGTTTCTCCGCAGAACTGAACGCCAAATATTACCTAATGATCCGCAGACAGCTGATGTTTGAGCTGGCCGAGATCTACAATGAAATGATGGACCTCAAACTAACGTTGGCAAACAGACAAGCAGATACACAGTCCCTTGATAACCACACTATTAAGAAATTCAACCATCTCTGCTCTGCATCTGCCAAGTAAGTGTATGCACGTGTGGACTCCTTTCGGCTCTGTGCATCTACCTTTATGAAGTCTTATTGAAACAAGTCTTCTGTTCTCCTTCTCAGATACTTCCAGATGTTTCTGGACTCCCTGTGCTCTCCTGAAGGGAAGTACCCGGAGCACCTGGAGGAGGAGGTGCTCAGACCGGCTCTGGTGGCCCGTTTCAGAGTGGCCCGACTCTACAGCCGACTGATCAGCTCAGAGCCGTCTGTTCAGCTGGAAAACCTCAACAAATCTCTGGAAAACTATAAGTAAGATGAAATATTTGTCCTTTTATGGTTATTCATATAAACACTTAGTGGGTTTGCACATTGAAAGTTGTTCTACTACTAGTGATTCTCAAAAAGATGGACTGCAACCCCCTAGTGGGCACTAAAGATACTGCTGGAGAGGGCATATAAATACAAAACAGCTGGCCCACTTTCACATTAATTATTTCTGTTTATGAATTCAATATTTCCTGAAAAGTACCTTAGTGTAATATAAAGTGTTGATCCAATCAGTGTGCTTAGATATTTGGGTTGAACCCTGAATATTGTTAGATTTCAAATTGGGCTGCAGGTCAATCATGTCCACCCTTCATGTCCACCCTTTTTTTCAAATAACTATTCAAACTTGAGTTCTCAGAAAAATGTACTCAAATTTGCCTGATGTTCCTTCTGGAGGAGGAGGGGTTTATGACTTCAGTCAGCCAGTAGGGGGAGCTCTAAATCTTTAGGCTTCACTTCAAAGGGGATGTTCTTTTGTCCATCTGTTTATACAGTCAGTGGTTGACATCACACAGCTGCAACTTGTGAATTAGAACGTTTTTTTAAAGGCATTTCAATTAAAGGGAATTTAAACAGAGTATTTATGCTGCCATGTTTGATTGTTTTTGTTATGTTGACCATCACTTCCTCCGCCTGTCTTCTAGATATGTGGTGCAGTATTGTGAGGGCCACCCTGAGGCAGTTGCTACTGTGAATACGGAGCTGGAGCTGAGTTCAGAGATGGTCGGCCTGCTCCCTTTAAAAATCAACCGCCTCAAAGCAAGGATGGCTTTAAACAACTGAAGGACCCCACTCTTCACTGACTGACTTACAATCCCAGTAACCACATTAGCCAGTCATTCTCAATTTACCGCCTTACAGTCACTGGACACTCCCAACAATAAGAGAACCTGGATGACAAATTCAGCGCCTCTCTTCCTTCTTTGTGGTGTTTTTTTTGTTGCAGTTGAATGCATTACATGCTGAAGCTATTTGCTCTCCTTTATGTGCTAACATAAATTAATTAAGCTGGTATAGAAAGCAAACTTTATACACATTTAATGAAAAGTCCAGTGAGAATGAATTCTTGTTTTCTATTGTTAATCATATTGGTTTTTATTTAATGTGACTTTATTTTGTATAAAGTGCTTTAAGTCTGTTACTTCAACACGTTTTTGTCTGTGATGGGAAAAGATATTGAAGACCTATTGTAAGCAGGGTTAGTGTAAACATAACAAACATCAATATGCAGACATACGTACAGACAGTAGAGTTGATCCATACAAACCATCAGGACTGTATGAACTGTCAGAAACACCCTTCCCACTGAGCAGAGTGTACTCGAACACATCGACGCTGGTTTATTAGACGTCATAATCTGCATGATGCTAGCTTCATCCTGTTGAATCTGTGCGTTTTCTTCTTGTCTTTGAGGAATCACTACATGACCCAGTCCATGTATTGTAGATACTGTATGTAATGACAAATTAATGACTAATATACGCACTAAGAAACAACACATCTGTGGGGTTTTTTCTTCCCTCCAATAAAAAGCTGTGCAATAAATTCGAAATATGTGAACTCTTCAGTTTTAATGTAATCCAATGATGAACATGAACGCTACCGCCTTTTTGTGACACAATCCCAGCTTTGATTTATGCACCTGGTAACAGGGGCGCTGTTTGTCAACAGGCAAGGCAGGGCCCCCAGGCCAGTAGTGGGCCCTCCAGGTCTGACACACATGAAACCACAGCAGTGGCTCAAAAATATGCGAAATTTCCAATGACAGTAGGAAACCCCTCTTAAGGTTGCGCCATCTGACAGCACTCACACTTTTTTTTAATTATTATTATTTTTATTGCACAAAAGAAAACAAAAACATAATAGATCAATGGAAAAACAGACAGAACACAATGATTAGTTAATTAACAAACTATACATTTTGAAAGAAATGTGCTGGAGGAGCCAAATAAACCCAGAGGGGCTCGTCGAGTGGCCCTCCTAAAGAGAAACATGTAACACAGAGACATATTATTAATGTAGTCCAAGCAAAAACAATAAAGCTAACAAGAACACATACTCCATAAGGTGTAAAAGAAAGCAAAACAAGAAAGAGATAAATTAAAGAAGAGGGGGAAAAAGTAAAATAAGCTCCTATGGCAGAGAAAGATTATGATGGCGCATTGGTTAATTGGCCAAGCAGGAAATAAATGATTTGTTTTTTAAATAAGTTGAGGCTGGTGCTGTTTCTAATATGATTGGGTAAATTGTTCCAACAATGAGGTCCTCTGAATCTGATAGAGAATTGAGAAAGTGATGTCCTGAAAAATGCAGAATTAAGTAAGCTAGCTGACATTGTGTTGTAATGATGGATTTGAGAATTGAATTGAAATATATCTTGAAAACAGCACTTGTTGCGCTGTCAGCCATTGTATGTCTTCTTGCTGTTAAAACCTACTACAATTATTGTTTTATAATGATAAATATATAATATCTGTAAAAGAAAAAAAAACGTTTCACATTTGGCATAATGGTGACGATGGATCATTGGACGGGTCCCCTGTGAATTTTTGCTTAGGGCCCTAGATTGCTGTGGTTCCCACATTTATTGGATTCCAGACATGAAAATCACATCAACGCGTTCGGCCATTTGTCCTCTTGCTCACAAAATCATCATTTAGCCACCAACTCTTAATTTAAGCCCTTGAAATGAGAACTCAATAGGGAGACGTTTTCTCCTTTTTCTCATTGTCTTCTACTTGTTCTATCACTTCTACTACTGTTTCTTCATCTTCTACTAATACTTCTACTACTCCTTTTACTTCTACTTCTTCTTCTTCTTTTTCTTCATCTTCTACTTATCCTTCAGCTGTTTCTGCTAATTCTTCTTCATTCAGCAGTGTTTTGCTAAATATTTCAGCGGTCAGCATTCCCACGCATTTTCCGCAGTTAAATGCAAATTGTCCAGTTAGTGGAATGCTGTAATACAGCATTCACACTATTATTAGACACAGTTAAATGCAAATTGTCTAGTTAGTGGGAATGCTGTAATACAGCATTCACACTATTATTAGCCGCAGTTAACCACTCTACTGAAACTGCACTACTGTCAGTAACAGAATCGCTACGAGCTGCCAGAGCTGCAGGTCAGTCCTCAGTTCTATTACTGCTAGACCTATCTGCTGTAAACTCATGCCCACAAAGTCTGCCCGGAACCTGGGTGTCATGATTGATGACCAGCTAACTTTTAAGGTTCAAGTAGCCTCGATTGCCCAGTCATGTCGATTTGCCCTGTACAACATCAGGAAGGTCAGACCTTACCTGTCAGAACATGCTACACAGCTCCTGGTACAAGCTCTTGTAATATCACGCATACGCTTACTTTAACTCTCTCATCCAGGTCTACACTCCCTCCCGCCCACTACGCTCTGCCAATGAAAGGCGTCTGATCCAACCTTCACAACAGGGTCTTAAGTCTCTGACTAGATTCTTCCCCCCCGGTGGTGGAATGAACTTCCAAACTCCATTCAATCTGCAGAGTCCCTCTGCATCTTTAAGAAAAAGCTAAAGACCCAGCTCTTTCATGAATCCCTACTAACTTAAATGATGATGGTCTCCATATCATTGATGATGATTATGGTTGTTACGATTGTTTTTGTTTGATAATGACGACTTATAAGATGGTTTCTATACTGATTAGAGCTCTCAAGAACTGCCGTCAATGTTGTGCTTTGCCTCTGGTCACTTCCTGTCAGCACCTGTGTGTCCAATCAGACTCAAAGCTGATCGTTTGCTCTTACTGACATTGTTCCCTTTTTTCTAGATCCTTGCTTGTGTTGTACTTACTCTCTGATGTACATTGCTTTGGATAAAAGTGTCTGCTAAGTGAATTGTAGAATTGTTGTAGAATTGTAGTTAAATGCAAATTGTCTAGTTAGTGTGAATGTTGTATTACAACATTCCTTTTATACTTTTCAAACTGTACCTCCAACTGTTTTGTGATGTTTTTAACTGCTTTCACATTGTTTGAATGGTTGTGTGTGTGGTGGAATGTTTGGGGCATGCTCAAAATCCAACATGAAGTCCACAAATCACATCGCCATGAACAGAAAGTGGCTGTAACTCTCGCTAGCTAACGGCTAACTAGCTAAACTTATAAACCGTTATGTTACATTTCTTGATTTGAAGTCTGGTTCAAAACAGTGAGAGACTGCATATCAAGTTTCTCAGTGGCTTAAATAATATATTAAACTTGTTTTAATCTGCTAAAAGGTGCAAAGGAAGAAGAGAGAAATCTGTCCACAGCTAATAGGACATCCTCGAAGCAAAACCAAATGAGGATTTTCTGCTTTTTCATTGTTTTACTACAGATTGAATTATCTTCCTTTGCACCTTTTAGCAGATTAAAACAAAGTAGTTTCACATTTTTACAGAAATTACAGAGCCTGTCTGAAATTAAGGCAATGCTGCTATCTTGTGGTGACTATCCATGATTGAAATATTTTAATTTAGAGTGTGGTTCCAAATGTCACAGGTATCATGACAGTGCCAGCCTGAAATGCTCTACTTAAACATTTTCTGTGATATTCATTACGTTGCCTATTTCAACATTCCAGTGCTACCACTTTTACACAAATCGAACTGCATGGCCTGCTGCTTAGCCACATTCTGCTGCTGCTGCACTCCCGCGGTCGCAACACACCCTGACATGCACCGGGGTGCGAGGGCCCTTCATCACCGCTTGCGGTTTTAGTTGGGATTGTGATTGCTTTTAGGCGACAGTGTTCATCACAGCACTGGACACTGCCCAGAGTCAGTGAGTCATTAAAGGTTTGAATAATGCTTGAATGATAATCCTCTTCAGGTAGACAAAAATGTTTAAATACTAACTTCCTCTTTAGAGTCTCATGCTCCTACTGCTAGAAACAAAGATGCAAAGTTGGTATGCATGCTGCTGTTAATAAACCACAGTTTCACTACAGTTCAAATGAATAGTCCTACCTGTGTACCTATTATATCGTGGTTATATTGTTGCATTTTACATTACATCAGTACAATGTAATGTAGGAGAGAGTTAAGTGGAGACGTGTGTGTGTGTGTGTGTGTGTAACAATGTGTGTAAGATATAGATGTCTTAGACCTACAGTATGTGCTTTTTATATATATTTATATATAGACATATTAGATAGAGAGATAACGTGACTGAAAAGTGATTTTCTGATGTGTTGATCAATAATGTGAATTCTTTGATTTTACATGTTCACCTTTAATCATTTGTTACTGCCATAAATACAGTAAAACTATAAACGTATAATTACAAGCTAGGCCATTCTAAGCTTTAAAGAAAAAGAGAGATTCATTGTTTTTTTTAAATATATTTTATTGCATTTCAGAGGAAAAAAGCGTATGTTTAAATGAACAAGTTAGAAGTCAAATTAGACTTTGTGTTTATGTCCATTATAAGTGCTAAAATATGAGAATAGTGCAAAGATTGCAACGCTTCACCCAGGAATTACCATCCACATCATATTACACTGCCTTATGGCAGATTTCATATGGAATAGATCTGATATGTTTGAAAAGTATGAGTCTTCATTCATTAGGTATTTCAGACTTTAAGCGACGATATGGAAGAAGAAATTGTAAGTTGAATGGTGTCACCTGAACAGGGAACGCACAGCTAAGTGCAGGCGTTAAAGGTGCTTTGAAAATATTGAAAGTTCAAAGACTCAATACTTTTCTAAAAATCAGAAGGGAAATAAGCCCCACAAGCATTACAAGCATATAGTTAACTTTTTAAAAAAAAATACTCTTATTCACTTTCCTGTCTGGGGTGCAATGAAAAAATGATGTCTCATCTCATGTAGGCTATGTTCCCCAATGATGAAGCTTAAGCTAGCAGAAGATTAGCATAGCATAGCACAAAGACTGGAAATAGCTAGCCTGGCTTTGTCAGACGGTGTCAAAATTTGTCTCCCAGTAATCTTGTTTTGGTTTAAACAAATAAAAAAACAAAAAACCTTTTAAAAATGACAACAGATCCTGTGCTTCATTATCTTTGGCATCATTACTAGGACTAGTGAATACGCTCATAAACCCCATGGAAAAGCTAATTTGTGTTCTTACATCTGGGTTGTTGAGCCATGTTAAGTGCACATATAGAAAAGCTAGCTGGTTTTGTGTTTCTAGTCTTTATGCTAAGGTTGGCAAAATAGTAGCCAGAAGACTCTACGCAAAATGGTGAGGAAGAGTATTTCCTTAAAAATCTCAATAAAGAGTTGCATTCAGATTTTTCATTCCTGAGTAAATATAGAGTTCGAGACGTACAGACAGGGTGAGAGCAGTTCCTCAGGCTCCAGTTTGTTGCAAAGCTTCTGGGTTTGCATCATGTAACACACTACATTTTTAAGTGTGTACATTCATAAACAGAAGTGCAGGTCAGGAACTGGATCCTCAGAGTTGCTCTCATCTTTTTGTCTTTGTCCGTCTCAAGGTACGGGCTGATCTTCTCGTGGCTGACGACGATGGCTTAACAATTTGATTTTTGTCAAAAATATTTATTTTTTTTGCTTT